AATCATCTAAGAAGTCAGATCAAGAATGAAATTCATAGGCACATTCACAGAGAAATAGTGAGTTATTTTTCTGAAATTTATTCCTCAGTTTAAAAAGCAGGAATATATGAATTAGGTTCAGTTACAGATTTAAAACCAGAAATATTTTTGTTGGTACCTAGATAAATAAAGAGAATACAATACATATTTAATTTTGCACGTGTTAACAGCAGCTAGAATTATGTTTGCACAACAGTGGGAAAATGAAGAGATCCCTATAGATGAAAATGTAATTAAAAAATATTACGATGTGCAGAAATGGATAGATTAGAACACTTAAAATTAAAGAGAATTTAACTTAATGTGGGATTTGTTTAACTTAACGTGAGATTTGTTTTATCAATGGCTAACAGAAACAGAAGTTAGAAATCTAAAAGTATAAAAGAAAAAACCAATTGCTTAAGGAAAGTTCACTAAAATGGAGAAACAATTATTTACTCATTATTAATGTTATATTATTGTCATTATCATTACACAAAATTAACTGTACCCAACTGTACTAATAGCAAGGGCGGCGAGAGCGGGCAGGCAGCCTGGGAATCGGGACTGGCAGCGGGAGCAGGTAAGCGACCAGGGCGTGCTTGCTCACCGATCGCGAAGGCAGGCAGCAATGGCAGCTGGGCATTCCAGGAGTCAGGACTCACCCGGGCTAGTGGGGGTGGCAGGTAGGCGACCAGGGCTTGCAGAGCCTCACTTGATCAGGCAGGACCACGGTGGAAGGCAGGCAGCAATGCCTGGTGAGGATGGTGGCCAGGCGGCCTTGGAGTCAGGACTCAACCGGGGCAGGCGGTGGCAAGTAGGCAACCGGGGCTTGCGGAGACTCACCCAGGGAGATCAGATCAGGCAGGGCAGAAGACAGGCCACAATGGCTAGCTGGCTGCAGGAAGCATTGGGCGGGAGAATGCAGGCAGCATTCTCTGTATGCTTGGGGCTTCCTCTCTATTAGAGGGGCCCATCTTTGTTCAGCTGAATAAACACATAATCTAAAACAGTGGTTCCCAAAATTTTCAGTCCACCGCCCCCTTGGTGCTACAAATTCATCCTCAGTGCCCACCACCCAGGGGTGGGATTCAAATTTCTGCGGGCCTGGCATGGCCTAATTTGAAGGTGGGGCTTGCTGATCATGTGACTGGCTGGCGTGGCTTGCTGGCTGGGCGTGGCTTGCTGGTCACATGACCTGATAGGTGTGGTTTGGTGGTCATGTGACTGGGTGGGCTTGGTCAGGTGACTGGCGAACCAAATACAAGTGGTCCTCATTTAATGGGGACCACTTGTTTAGCAAGTGTTCTAATTTATGACTGGCCTCCCCAGAGCTACTTGACCTGTTTTTGGAGTTTTGACAGCCCTGCACACACATACACACAAACACACACACTCCCTTCCAACCCTGCTGGAGCAGGTCATTGGACTAGAATCGGCAAAGCATCTCTGATTAGATTCTAGTAGTGAATAGAATCTAATCAGAGATACTTTGCTGATTCTTGTTGATTTTTATTTGTATTTCTTTATGTTGCTGAATTGCATTGACATGTGTATCCCTTCCTGTGCACAACCTAGAAGCTTTTGTGATTCTTTGCAGCAAAAATTACCAACCTCTGGCTTTGCTCTACTTTTCAAACATGCCGCCACTGCCACGTTCTAGGTGCCGGCCCCGCAGGTCCACCCCACTGAGCCCGCTGCACTGGAGGGACCTACCCAAGGGTGGAGGTCTGGTCCAATGGATCCTGTTTAAAGCCTCAACAAAATGTGAGAGCTTCCTGTCTTGACCATGTTTCGTCCACAAAACCTTTAATTAATAGAAGCCAAAGATGTTACATTGTGCTGGCAAAGATGTTTCAATGTGGAAAAGGGCCTCAAGTCTAAACTAGGCCTCATTTCAATCTGATGCATCAGGTCTCTCTCTCTCTCTCTCTCTCTCTCTCTCTCTCTCTCTCTCTCTCTCTCTCTCTCTCTCTCTCCCCCTCCCTCCCTCCCTCCCTCCCTCTCACTCCCTCCCCCCATTTCTTTGTCCCTTTTTCTTTCTTTTCCTTTTCTCTTTCTTTTCTTCCTTCTCTCTTTCTCTCTCTCTTTCTTTTCTCTCTCTCTCTTTCCCTCTCTCAGGCTCACCCCATTGACTTGGTACATTGCTCCGCTCAGACTTGGTTGGGCAGGTCCCTCCGGTGCAGCGGGCTCAATGGGGTGGACCTGTGGGACCGGCACGCAGCAGTGGCAGCACGTTTGAAAAGTAGACCACAGCCAGACTGGCTTTGCTCTACTTTCCTGACGTGCCTGCGGGGCCGGCGCCTCCTTTCTCCCACATTTCTCCTCCCCTTTCCTTCCTTTTCTCATTTCCTCACTTGCTTTATTTTTTTCTATTTTACACCATGATAAAATAATAATAAAGAAATAATGAAGAAAAACCATTAGAAAAAGGACCCTTATAGCAGTGCTTCCTATTCCACAGCCGAGATATGCGAATTTCTGAGGGAAAAAAATATTCATTGCGACTCCACTTCTATGTCCACTTTTTTATATTGCCAATTTCCCCCCAAAATGTTACTTTGTATATTTTTTTCTGATGACAGTATCGATTGTTGTGCTTTGAAATGATGGGCAGATGTTGAAACTGTCCAAGGAAAGGAGCAGAAAATGGAGGAGAAACGGTCAAACTTTGTACCAGGATCTTCATCAAGGGCTGTTTTGCAAGGAAAAGTGGGATCCCGAGCCACAGAAAGAAAGGGGAGATGCCTTCCCATTGGGGGCTGAGGGGGGGGCAGAAGGGGCTCTTTGAGAGAGACGCAGGTTTCAAGGCAGAAAATGCCATTTTCTCCTGTAAAGCTGAGAGATCCCTGTGGAAATCCCCCCCCCATCAAGGGGAGGGGGCCTGGGGAGAGGATCTGGCCAGATTAGGGGGGATCCCTGAAGATCCTCTCCATCTCTTCCTGCATGGACTGTCAGCTGAGGGTTTTCCTGGCTTCCCTTTGGATTGGGGTGAGTGTGGAGCCCCCAAGTCCTGGCTGGCTGTGGGGCTGCGCCTCCCCATTGTCCTCTGCAGCACCTGCTGGGGGCTCCCTCCTTCCTGACTGAGCGGGGGGGGGGAGCCCGAAGGACCCCTCGAGCTCTGGCTCCATTTTGCCCATCTGGAGTCTCGGCAGCTCCAGCCTGGGCACCCTCTGGCACTGTGGGAACTCAAAGGCCATCTAGTCCGTCCCTCCAGGCGCACAGAGAAAAGGAGATTGGATGAGAATCATGGGGGGGACGCAAAAGGAAGTCCACCCTCCCCTCTGGAGCTGGCATGAAAGACTCCCCTAGAATGCAGCCCCCCAAGACTGAAAAGATCCCCCCTCCCACTTTCTCCACTTCTCTCTCTGCTCAGAACTCTCTCCTCCATCGGGTGAAGTCAAGGGAGACTCTGCCCGGAGACTGATGACACTGGAGCAGGGAGAATTCCCATTGGTGCTTCAGCTCGTTCTGGCCCCTCCCAGCTCAAAACTCCAAGAAAAACATTTCCTCCCCCTCGACACACATTCCTCCTCTGACACACACACACAAACACACATGTTCATTTCATGGGTAGATTCTTCCGTGGGAAGAGCTGCACTGGACAACCAGGGGGGAGAGAGAGGTAGCCATCTAGGTGCCACCTGTTTCTCTCCCCCAGAGGCTGCCGGACAGAGTGCCAGCGCCCCCCTGCCACCTCTTAGTCCCCCTCTAAGGCATCCCAGCCCCCACAGGGAGCAGTACCACCCACTTTGGGAACCACTGATCTAAAAGACAATCTTTGGTCTTTGTATCTTTTTGGCCAAATCATACCTTTGGCCAAATCATACCCGGCACAACAAGAAAGCCCAGTTGCCTCTTGAAAAAAGCACCTTTGGGACAACATTCTTTGCTGTGTCTTTTTAATGATGATTCTAATGTTAGGTGTCCATTTATTAAATATCCAAGAAAGGTATTCGTAATAAAAACTATGTAAGAGGAACTTCCCCCAAAATGCAATCTGGATATTTTTTAAATACATAATTTTGTTTTTGTTTTAAAAATGTATTTGGCATTCAATAGCACCCTGGAACGATCCATCCATCCACACATTTTATTGTGTCTTCATCTACATCTGTTGAGACTTCAAACTTTTCCTTTTTGCAAGAGTATATGTTATTTTCATAATATAAAATGAATAGGAAGAGAAAACTTCATCCTAAATATATAGTCATTGACTTACAATTGAGCCCCAAATTTCCACTATTAAGAAAGACAGTTAATGAGCTTTGCCTCATTTTACAACCTTTGTTGCCAAAGTTAATCACTTTAATTACTAAGTTGTCAGCTTTGGAAGCCATATTAGCACCAGAAGCTTCCATGCTGCTACATTCTTAAGCCTGGGAAGATGGGAGGGGGGAATTTCATGGAGCGTATGTGGTTAGACATAATAGCATTCTTCTTTAGAGTCAAGGTCATGTTGTTCCTGCAACTAGCTGAGTAGTAGTAGGGGGGACGTCTCAAGATGAGACGGAGGGTGATTGGGGCATGTGATGGAATGATGGGGGGCAGTAGATAGATTTGTAATATTTTACTTATTGGAGGGAAACCTGGGATTTTCAGATTTGGGATTTCCCAGATGTGCCAATTCACTGCTCTAATAAAAGGGAACTTTGAGAACATGTCTGGTTTGGAGTTATCTGTTGGAGTTGAGTTTTTCTGGAACGCTGACAAAGTTAGTAACATGGTTGGTAAGTGAATCTGGCTTCCCCATTGACTTTGCTTGTGAGAAGGTTGCAAAAGGTGATTACATGACCCCAGAACACTAACTATCATGAATATGAGCCAGTTGCCAAGTATCGGATTTTGATCATGTGACTATGGGGATGCTGAAATAGTCCTAAGTATGATAAATGGTCATAAGCCACTTTTTTCAGTGCACTGTAACTTCAAATGCTCACTAAATGAAAGGTTGTAGTGAAAGTTTTTTATTTATTTTACAGCTGTTGGATCTAATGCATACCCTTCATACACGAGCTGCTACCATCTACAGTTCTTGGGCGGAAGAGCAGCAGCATCTGCAAACTCCAGAGAAGAAAATAGAAGCAAATTCTCGAGCATTATGGCTCAATTGTTGGTGCCCATTGTTGCAAGGTAAAGCTAACACAACCTAGAATATTACAGATAGTCCTAGACTTATGATTGTAGTGGAACCTGTCCATTACAGTTGTAAGTCAGGATGGTCATAAAATGGGCCATCCGATGACTAATCCAATTCTATAGCCTTTTTTCCAGCAGCCATTAAGAAAATCACAGTAATTAATGAATCCACGGTTGTTAATCAACTGCTGTGGTCATTACAAACCTGCTGTTTACTATGGGGCATTTCTGCCAAAACCAGAAGTAAATGCCTGTTTTTTGGCAAAAATATAAATTGCAATCACTGTAGGATGCTGCAAACAGCCATAATCTGCCAAGTATCTGAAATATGCTGACATGACCGTGGGGAGAGTTGTCTTTCCAAACTTCAGAATTGAGTTGTAAGTATCTTTGGAGGGGGTGTCCATTGGAATTTCAAGTGGTCACTAAGTGAACTACCTGTATAGGATAGTTTTTGGCAAGGGATGGTCTGTACTGCACAAGAACTGGGAAGAATATATCTGGAAAATGACTGGCTCAACTTATCTGAAGGTCTTTAAAATAAAGTTGAGGGGGGGAGGGTGAATAATCTTTAGGCTCTTTGGAACTTAATTCCAACCACAAACCCCAAGACAACCAATTAAACAAAGAGCTAGAGAGTGAGGGGAAAGAAGAAAAATTCAGATTCAAAGTAAGAGCATGCCCAAGATCAGCCATAAAGGACTCAAATGCCTATACACTAACAGTCAAAGTTTAGGGAACAACAGGGTGAACTTGAAGTACTGGTATACGAAAATAGGTATCATGTAGTTGCCACTACTGAAACTTGGTGGCATGAAGCTCAAGATTGCAATGTACCAATGGATGGATACAAACTATTAAAAAAAACCAGACCTAACAAAAGAGGAGGTGGAGTTGCATTATATGTAAGTGATCACTCTATAGAAAAGCACAAAACCAAGTAAGAAAACTCATAGAATTCATGTGGGTCAATATAAAAGGAAAAACGAATGACACTGTCATAGGTGCATACTATAGGCCACCCAACCAACAGAAGAAAGGTGTTTTTTTTCAAGAGGCAAGCAGACATTGGGACAGAAAGGGTGGGGCCATCAGTAGCTGCACTCCCACTCCTGTTGGCCTCCGCACTCGCCTCCTCCTTCATGTCCTCCCTGAAAATAAGACCAGGTGCTTATTTTCAAGCCAAGAAGAAAATAAGACCAGGTTTTATTTTCATGGAAACATGGTAGTATACTTGGATTTCAATAAGGCATTTGACAAAGTAGATCACAACCTACTTCTTGGTAAGCAGAAAAAATTTGAGATAGACACCATCATCACTAGGTGTATTTGTAACTGCTTGACAAACTGCATTCAACAAGTAGTCCTTAATGATACTTCATCTACATAGAGGGAAGTAAGCAGTGTGGTCCCACAAGGTTCCGTCTTAGGCACTCTTCAATATTTTCACAAACTACTTAGATAAGGGAATAAAAAGGGTCAAATTTGCTGATGACCTGCCAGGAATAGCAAACATTTCAAATGATAGGCTTAGGATTCAAATGAATCCTGACAGACTTGAACACAAGGCCCTATCTAACCAAATGAAATTTATGTAGAGAATAGTAAAGTTTTACACATAGGCAGGAAAAACCAAATGTAAAAGTACATTTTAGGTGAAACCTGGCTCAAAAGCAGTAATTGTGAGAGGGATCTTGGTGTCCTAGTAGACAATCACTTAAACATGAGCCAGCAGTGTGCAGCCGCTGCCAAAAAAGCTAAAAAAAGTTAATGCAATCCGGGGACCCCCTTTTGGGCCTCTGCACCCCATTTTTTAGGCCTCCACACCCCATTTTCAGCATGTTCTGGGCGGTGGGGATTGGAATGGGCAGAAAATGGGACACGTGGAAGTCAAAACTGAGGCGTGCGGAGGTGGAAAATAGGGTGCATGGAGGTGGCAATAGGCAATGGCAAACCCTGCAGCCTGAAAAAGCTGATCATCAGGAGGGTGATCCAACTGGCAGATTGCTTGTGCTAATCAGCTGAAGCTGAAGCTGAAGCTGAAACAGGCTGTTTTCTGTTTGCTGCAAGGAGGCAAATTGCTGGGTGGCAGAGGCCAGCGAGTGAGTGGGGCTTCAGCAACATTTGCTGTATAGGACGCACAGACATTTCCACCCACTTTGGGCGGTGGAAAAAGTGTGTCTTATATTTCGAAAAATATGGTATATGTTGGAAGAAACTTTTATTAATATTATCTTTGACTTTTGTTGCAAGTCTTTGTTCATTCTGGGGCTTTGCTTTCCTGACTTTGTCTTTGCAGGTTCTTGCTATCTGCTGATATTCTGCGTTATGTGTCCTTCTTTCCATTTTTTGTCCTTATCTTTTTTGTCTTTCAATTTGTGCAGACATGCTGGTTTCTTCTTGGATTTCTTGTTTTTCATTTTCAGTGGTATTGTGCTGGACTGGACGTTTATGATCATATTTTTCAGAGTTTCCCATGTTTCTTTTTTTTTAGATAAAGTTTTTTATTTTTAAACACAAACATACACATACAGAAACATAAAAACATAAAATCCTCTTCCAGTTGGTTACGTATCTTTTGTGCTATACTTTTGTAGTCATTTACTCACAATTTATATCAATCTTAACATTGTCAAACTAACATATGTTTATATATTTATCAGTTATTAATCATCCATGACTAAACTATGTATTCCATCGTTTTATACGAGGTGTTTTATCTTAAAATTTTATCTTAAAATTTATGTTATACTTTCAACCAGTGGTTATATATATCTGTATTATGTTTTATATCAATCTATTAGATTTCTATCACAAAATTATATATCTATTATATTACCATGCCTTTTTATCCAACCATTGATAAAACAAATCCTATATCATATAAAATTGCTTATCTTCTTGTTCTCTAATTTCAAATGTCAGTTTACTCATTTCAGCACAGTCCATAATTTTTTTGATAACTTCCTCCTGCATAGGTATTTTATCATTTTTCCAGTTCTTCGCAAATACAATTCTAGCTGCTGTTAAGACATTTACAATAAAATATTTCAGTTCTTTATTATATATATCTGGTATGACTCCCAATAAAAAGATCTCTGGTTTAAAGTCTATATGCTGTTTTATTATTTTTTCCAACCATGTGTGGATTTTAGTCCAATATTTCTTTGCGTCTGAACATGTCTACCACATATGGTAATATGAACCAGGTATCTGATGACATTTCCAGCATTTATCCGATTTATTCTTAAACATTCTTGCCAGTCTCGTCGGGGGTAGGTGCCATCTGTAAAACATCTTATACAAATTTTCTTTATATGCAGTTGACATTGTCATTTTGTAATTTTGAGACCACAATTTTTGCCATTTTTACAAATCAATCCCATATCCAAAAATTTTCCCCCAAGCAATCATCGTTTCTTTAACTTGCTCCTCCTCCAGTTTAAATTCTAATAGATATCCATAAAGTTTTTAAATTACCTTTTCATCAGTACCCATCAAAATTTTAGCTAAGTCAGTCAACTTATCATAAATACCTTTTGCCTTGGAGTCTTTATCAAACCTAGATTGTATTTGCAAATAAGAAAACCAATTCATTTTTACACCTTGTTCTTGCAATGTTTGCATAGATTTAAGTTCACCCTTTTCATTCAGTAACTCCTCATATCTAATTGTTTGTTCCTTTTTATATATTATTGGATAAGAAAAAGCTTCAATAGTTGATATCCATGTTGGAATTTTAAGTAATATTGTCTTTTAATCTTCTCCCAGCTGAAAAACAATGCCTCACGAATATAATGTCTTCTAAAATACCCCTGTGTTTTAGTTCCCTTATACCAGAGAAAGGCATGCCATCCCAGCAGCAAGTCGTGGCCTTCTAAAGTCAATAATCTACTGTTCCTTAGTGTTATCCATTCCTTTACCCACATCAAACTTGTTGCCTAGTAATACAGCTCCCAGTTGGGCAAGGCAAACCCTCCTCTTATTCTTGCATCTTGTAACAGCTTTAATTTTATTCTTGCTTTTTTGCCGTGCCAAATATATTTCAACACAATTCTATTTAAATCTTCAAAAAAACTCTTTCCCTAATCGAATAGGAATTGTCTGGAATAAATATAAAACTCTAGGCAGTATATTCATCTTAATTGTAGATATTCTCCCAATCAACGATAGTTGCAATTTTTTCCCATTTCAACAAGTCTGTCTCAATCTGCTGTTTGAGTTTAACATAGTTATCTTCCTTTAGGGTACTGCATCTTGGTGTAATATAAATCCCTAAGTATTTAACTTTGTTCGTGACCTGTATTTTTAATGTTTTTTCCAACTCTTTCTTTTGTCTTGTTAACATATTGTTAATATCTTTGTTTTGTCTTTATTTATTCTCAGACCTGCTACTTTTCCATATTCTTCTATTTTTTTCTATTAATTTGGGTGTTGTTTCCATTGGGTCTTCTAATATAAATACCAGGTCATCTGCAAAAGCTTGCAATTTATACTACTTCCTTTTTAATTTTCATTCCTTTTATTTCTTTTTCTTCTCTGATATTCCTGTTCAACACTTCCAACACAAACAGCAGAGGCGACAATGGACAGCCTTGCCTTGTCCCTTTTCTTATGGATTCTGTTTTCCCTTTTCTTATGGATTCTGTTAATTCTCCATTCACCATCACCTTTGCAGTTTGTTCATGATATTTTGTTTCAATGGCTTGGATTTCTTACCAAATTTCTTACCAAAGCCCATTTGTATCAGTTGCAGTAAAATAAATCACCAACTCACATTGTCAAAGGCTTTTTGAGCATCTAAAAACATCAAGGCCATTTGCTTCTCAGGGTGTGCTTCATTCCAGAGTATCCAAAATGATTCTCACATTGTCTTTGATTTGTCTCTTTGGCAGAAATCCATTTTGATCAGTATGAATAAAATTATTTAAGTATCTTTTTAGTCTTTCTGCCAAAATTGAAGCAAAGATTTTATAGTCTGAGTTCAATAAAGA